TAATGTAATTTATATAATTGAATAAATATAACAAAATAATTATTATATGTAATTAATATATTGTATTTATTGAGTATAATTTATGTAATATAATATTATAAAGAAAGGATGAAGAGAAAGAAAATGAGGGGAAAGATATGTATAAAGGTAGAAAGTTTGTTAAGCCAAGGATGTAAAAGGAAAAAGTACAGTTAGAAAGCAAAGTTGGAGGACAGGAAATGGGCAGCGAGATAAGGCGGAAAATGAGCTCGGAGACAGAGATAGCGAGAGATAAGAAAGAGAGGCAAGAAAACAGAGATCTTAAAAGAGAGAAATAAAAAAAAAAATAATCTGAGAAAGAGGAGAAAGGTGGAAAAGAGAAAGAGGATTAAAGAGCCCACCGCGATGAGCCGCGTTAATAAAGGATAAAAAAGTTTTTCTCCCTCCCTCCTCTCTCTCTCTATCTCTTCTCTCTCCTTTAACTCTCTCTCCTCTATCTCTCTCTCCCTCTCTCCCTTCCTTTCCCTCTTTCCCTTCCTCTCTCTCCCTCCCTCCCTCCCTCGTTTTCCCTCTCCTCTCCCTCTCCCACTTTCCCTCCCTCCCTCTCCCTTGCCCTCTTCTCTCCTCCTCTCTTCTCCTCCCTACCCTCCCCTCCTCCCTTTTCCCTTTTTTATTATTCTTCCCTCCCTCTTTCCTCTTCCCTTCCTCCCACTTTCCCCTCTCCCTCCCTTCCCTCCCTCCCCCTCTCCCTCTTTCCCTCTCCCTCTCTCCTCCCTCTCTCTCGTCTTATGATGAAACGGTATCAAAGCCCAAGCGCAGAGTCTAGATTTTAATTAAAATGTCTTGCATGTATTATTTGCGTCGAGGGCCCTGTGGACGCGAGGTCTTCCGTCTGATTTCGGCTCGGCGTGAGTTCTACGGACGCGCGTCGCTCCTTCTTCCCGCTGTTGCTTCCTCCGAAAATGCTTATTTTTTTGGGGGTGTTATTGATGTGAGGTGTTGGTGCGGGGGGTCGTTGTTGGCGGTGGAGAGTGGAGTTGTTTTTTTTTTTTTTTTGTTGGTGTTGCGTTTTTGTTATTTGTTTTGTTTACTGGTTTTGTTATTGTTGTTACTGGTTTTGTTATTGTTGTTATTGGTTTTGTTATTGTTATTTAATATTTATTATTATTATTATTTATATATATTATATTATTATTTTATTTTATTTTTACTACTGCTATTTATTATTATCGTATATTTTGTAATTATCTCATTATTATTATTATTATTATTATTATTATATTTTCATTTATTATTATTTATTATTATCATTATCGTTGACATTGATTTCATACTACGAGTATTATTAGTACTACTATTGCCGCTATACTACTACTCCTCTTTCTCTTAAGCTTCTCTTCTTCCTCCTCCTCCCTCCTCCCTCCTCCTCTCTCCTCCTCCTCCTCCTTCTCCTCCCTCTCTCCTTCCCTCCCTTCTCCTCCTCCCTCCTCCTCCTCCTCCTCCTCCCTCTCCTCCTCCTCCTCCTCCCCTCCTCCTCCCCCTCCTCCTCCCCCTCCCCTCCCCCCTCCCCCTCCCCCTTCTCCTTCCCCCTTCCCTCCCCCCTTTCAGAGATTTCAAAACCTGCAATGAAAGATAAAGAAAGAAAAGAGAAAAGGATATTTGATTACAGAAGGTTTGAGGTTCTAAACGCCTGGATCGTCCATGATTTAGAAAAAAAAAAAAAAAAAAAAAGTAAAAAAAAAAAAAAGTAAAAAAGTAAAAATTGAAACCAAAAAGCCAATTCTTTTCTGCTTCTCAGTCTCTGAAAGTTGAAGTGGAAATCATTCGGAGCGATCTCAGTGCCCAAATAAGGGCGCGGAATGGGAGTAGTATGGGGGAAGGGGAAGGGGAGGGGAGGGGAAGGGGAAGGGTAGGGATAAGGGGAAGGGAGGAGGAGGGGAGTGAAGGGGGGAAGGGGAGGAGGGGAGGGGAAAGGGGATGAGGGGAAGGAGAGGGGGATGGGGGGAAGGAGGGGGATGGGGGGAAGGGAGGCGAGGGGAGGTGGCGGTGATGGGGGGATTTTAGAATAGGGAAGCGTGGGTGGTGGTTGTGGTGGTGGGGGGGGGGAAAGGGGGTCTTTGAAAGCGGAAAGGAGACGTTTGTTTGGTTGCGGGTGTGAGGGAAAGGAGGGATGGGGGGGGGGAAGGGGAGAAGGTTGTATATGTGGGGGTTGTTATACATGAGAGGGGAGGAGGGAGGGTAGAGGAGGGAGAAACGGGAAGGGTTTTTTGGGTTGGGGGAAGGGTACGGGGAGGGGTATTATTCCTTTTAGCAGAGGGGTTAAGAGGGGGAAAAAAACGTATAAGTAAAAAAAGAAGGGAAGAAGGGAGGAAAGAAGGAAAACCTAAGAAAAAGGAGAAAAAAACAGAAAAAAGAGAAAGAAGAAAAAAATAAAGAAAAAGTAAAAACGCAAAAGAAAGAAAAAGAAAAAGAAGGAAGAAAGAAGAGAAAAAAAAGAAAAAAAGCAAAAAAAAAAAAAAAAGGAAAAAAAGAGAAATTAAAAAAATAAAAAATAATAAGCAGCGTCACAGCCTGGCGTCTCCCACACCCGTGACGACTCCCTAGCATATCACGGCGTTGCTCTATCGTCCGCCCGCCCACGCCCACGCAGATTACGCAGTGAGGGACGCCCATTCCGCCCTTATTAACCGGGACAGGGAAGGGCGCGTGACTCCTGGCCGCCCACACGCCACCGCACACTCTGTCACGCCCGTGCACAGTACTCCGGCAGCCAGATCAATAGCCTTAATTGCTTATTGGGGCGAAAGTACGCTGGCTCTGTTGCTTTCTTTCTTGGCGTTTTCTTTTCTTGCGTCTCTCTTTCTTGCTTTCTTTCTCTCTTTCTTGCTTTCTCTTTTCTTCTTTCTTTCTTTCTTGCGTTCTTTGCTTTCTTTCTTCTCTTTCTTTCTCTCTTTCTTTCTTTCTTTCTTTCTCTCTTTTCTTTCTTTCTTTCTTTCTTTCTTTCTTTCTTTCTTTCTTTCTTTTCTTCTTCTTTCTTTCTTTCTTTCTTTCTTCTTTTTTAATTGCTTATTGGGAGGAAAGTACGCTGGTTCAGTTTTTCTTTCTCTCTTTCTTTCTTTCTTTTAGTTTTATTGAAGGATTTTTTAATGGGATGGAAGAATGAGGGGGAAAGAAGGGAGGGGCCTAAGAAGAAGAAGAAGAAGAAGAAGTGAAGGTAAAGAAGAAATGTAAGTGATGGAGAACAGTAGGAAAAGAAGGAGAGGAAGAGATGGAGAGGTAGGAGGAAAGCGAAGGAGAGAGGAGAAGAAGAACAAGAAGAACAAGAACAAGAACAAGAACAAGAACAAGAACAAAGAAGGAGGAGAAGGAGGAAGGATGGGGGGGGGGAGAGAAAATGACAGCACGGTGTTGGCAATTCTGTTTTCTTACACGAAGCGTAATTAAGCAGAAATAAAACGCATTCGTTTTTTAAGTTACTGCAGTGACCTTAATCCCGGGAGGGAGGAGGGAGGGAGAAGAGAAGGAGAGAAGGAGAGAAGGAGAGAAGGAGAGAAGGAGAGAAGGAGAGAAGGAGGAAGGAGAGAAGGAGAGAAGGAGAGAAGGAGAGAAGGAGAAGGAGAAGGAGAAGGAGAAGGAGAAGGAGAAGGAGAAGGGAGAAAGGAGAAGGAGAAGGGAGAGAGAAGGAGAGAGAGAGAGAGAGAGAGAGAAGAGAGAGAGGAGAGAGAGAGAGAGAGAGAGAGAGGAGAGAGAGAGAGAGTGAAGAGGAGAAGTTGTGGGATAGAGATAGGGAGGGAGAAAGATAGATGGAGAGAGAAAAGCGGGGAAACAAAACCAAGAACAACACACGAGAGGAGGAGACAACAAAAGAGCGACTGAAACAGGAACAACAAAAAGGAAGATAAACAGTCAAACGAACAAACAGACAAAAAACAAAAATGAAGAAAACAAAGAAGAGAGAGCGAAAAAAGACAAAAAAAATCATAAACAAAACAAGAACAAAAACAAAAAGGAAGATAAACAGTCAAGCAAACGAACAAAAAAAAATGAAGAAAACAAAGAAGAGAGAGCGTAAAAAAAGCCAAAAAAAATCATAAACAAAACAAGAACAAAAACAAAAAGGAAGATAAACAGTCAAACGAACGAACAAACAGAAAAAAGCAAAATGAAGAAAACAAAGAAGAGAGAGCGTTAAAAAAAAGAGACAAAAACAAAAAAACAAAACAAAACAAAAAAAAAAATCGTCGTGTTTTCTCACGTGGGGCGAGCGCTTGCAAGGTGTTTTATGATGCACGAATATTGCAGGCGATTTCGGCTTTTTTGCCTCGTAATTGGCACTGCGGTTACTGTTGCATTAGGGCCGACTGCTGCAATTTATTGTTATGTTGATACAACTTCCGAGGAATTGTATTTTTTTCTGTTTTTTTTTTTTTTTTTTTTTTTTTTTTTTTTTTAATGATTGACGGTTTTTTTTTTTGGGGGGGGGGAAGGGAGTAGGGGGAGGGAGGAAGGGGGAGGAGGAGGGAAGAGGGAGTAATTGGTAATTTATGGTATTGGAATTGCTGTTTGTTTGGTATGACAGTTTTTATTTATCATAGTGTTGTTGTTGTGGTAGTTTCTGTTATTGCTGTTGTGTTTATTGTTTATTGTTATTCTTTTTATTATTATTGTTATTGTTATTTCTATTATTATTATTATGTTATTTCTATTATTGTTATTATCATCGTTTTTATTGTCGCCCAGTATTTTATCATTATCAATAATGATGATAATATTTATAATATTTTATAATGACTAGTTATTATTACCATTTCTGTTGTTGCATTTTACTTGTTATGTAGAATCATCATCATTATTGCTATTGTTTTTATTTGTCATCATTATTATTATTATCATTTATCATTATTTTTATTATCAGTATTATTATTATCATTTATTATTATTATATTTATTATTATTATTATTCATTTATTATCATTATCATTGAGACCATTCTCACGCTAACCTCCCCCCCCCCCCTCCAG